TGATAAGAGCTCGGTTTTGTGTGACTGTTATTGAAGCCACCACATGGTCATACTTCATCGGCATAGTTCGAAGAACTTTTTCAACCACTGCACCATCTTCAATCGTATCTCCATATAGCCTCATCTTATTCACCATATCAATAAGACGAGTGAAATACGCATCTACTGTTTCTGTAGAGGTCATCTCACAATTATCGTACAACCTTCTCAACGACTGCAACTTAGACTTCTGTGCCCGATCGACTCCTTTGTGTGACACCTTTAAGATGTCACAAGCTTGTTTTGCTGTTTGAGCACGAGCTAATTGCCCAAAAATGGAATAATGAACACCTTGGTGAATCTGACCCAAGGCCAATTTATCTCGCCGTATAGCGCCTGCATCAGCTCCTTCGGGTAGACCGGGATCAACAAAGCTCCAAAGATTTTGAGCTTGCAAATGTGTGGACATCATAATTTGCCAATAATTGTAATCGAGGTTCCCGTCCAATTTGGGACCCGACCATACAATATTGAAATTTGTGGCCATAATTCACTATGAAAAATACCTCGGGGTTGAAAGGTTGACTGGCTCTGATACCAAATGTTAGATATATTAAATATAATATATTTAATATAATATATATTAAATATAATATAATATATCTATAATATATATTAAATATAATATATTTATATATTATATTTATATATTGAGAAGAGAGAGAGGGGAAAAATAACTCTTTGAATTGATGATTAGAAATGCTTGAATAACAAATCTATTTATACTAGATAAGATAATTCAAATGCTAAAATTAAGGAATTAATGCTCCATGTAAAGCTAACATCATGGCCATGTACTGCACCTATAATTACTCCCATTATTTTTAACCAACTAACTCATCTTACTTGGTTTAATATAATAATAATATTATTATTATAACAGAAATTAAGTCTCACATAAGTTTTTATTTTATTTGAAACACTACTTGAAATAATGTAAGTTACAAAACACAAGAGATATATATAAATATAACAAATATAAGCGTGTAAATAACACAAGTATTATTTATTTATTTTAGATAATAATGGTTTCCTCAATTACTATACAATCATCCTCCACGTACAAATATATGTTCACATTACCCTCTTGCTCAAATTCGTTATACATGATTTTCTTAATTTGATTTATGTCTCTTGTATAATTTCTAGGCTATTACACAAGAACAAAATTTTCCCAGTGCACATTTTCAAGTAGTGGATTCAGCCGGTTTCCCTTGTCACCCAAAATTTTGTACTGAAATAGAACATGACTCTCATACTTGAACGTCACGAATTTGTTTCTTACCAACATCCTCCCGATCGAACCTCATGCACAAAATCTTCTTATTGTAATTTACCTCTTCTGTGTAATTTGCAAGTTATTACGTAGAATAAGAGTTTACCCATCCAATACATACACTCGGGAGTGGTTACAGCAAAAAATATATGTTCACACACAATTCCTTAATTAAGTGATAAATAGATATACAGATTTATTACAGAACTCATAAATATGTAAAATATGAAAAACTAGAAATTATTGTAAAATATGAATTATGTGGGGGGAAAAATGAACAAATGGTCGGCCAGTACAGCTCGTATCTAAGTTATACTGTTGGAATACACAAGCGTCCAGCTGGAAACATTGACCAATTCTTGTCGGAAAAATGTTGTTTTGCTCCAACATTTAAATCCTTATTTATGCTTCAAAAAAGAAAAAAAAAATCCAAATTAAGCCTTTTTGAATTTTTACACCCTACTTTATTTTCATTTCAATTGATATTTATATTCATTTTATTTTGAATAAATATTTTAGTTTAAAAAACAAAAAAAAAAAAAAAAAAAAAACTTTTGTGGTATTCCACCAATAGTGTTTGGCTATATCTTTTCACTATTTGTCTTTCAATTTTGAATTTCTTACCACTTTTAGTATTTCAGGGATAAAAGAATCTTGAAATCACTAAGATCACAAAAAAACTAAAATTAGACTAAAGTCACTCGATTAGGCTATAATACACATAGACCAAATCACAATAAAAGATTAAATCCAACTAATTAGCTAGTCTAATCCATGATCTTATAAACACATATATATTCTCTCTTATTTTATAGATGTAGGACTTTTAACACCCATAATCTTGAATTCAATAAGGTCACAAAGCGAGTTTGGCTTCCTCGTAAACCAAAAGAATCTTCAAGTCAGGATTCTTGGTTAGAGGTTCGAATCTCGGTTCCTACTAATTTCAGTAAAAATCTTAATCAATGGAAAGCATAGATGGAATATGATATGTCGATTACTTCAGGTAATCACTGCATTCAATCAACAAAACTACAAGTAAACAGTAAACAAACCTACACAGCAAAGCTAAGAGATTTAATGGTTCTGACAAGAAATGGTCTTAATGCCACATACTATTGAGAAAAACCCAAAGCCTTCCATCATGTCTTCCACAACTTTTGCAGGTTTTGGCACTCTCAGAAACTGTATTTCTTAGCTTGAGATGTGCCTGCAGATTTGAAGGGTGAAGTAATGAAACAAATCACATGAATATCCGATGCATCTTCTTCTTCTTCGGTTCTTCAGATAGGCTGGCCTTTGGGAACAATTTGATCTTTGATCCACATGTAAATTGGAACGAGCACATAGTAAGTTGCTGCAATTGCCCCGAGGATTAGTCGTGAAAGGAAAACAAATGGGTTCGTGGGCTTGCTCACGTCCTCCGCCTTTGGACCCATCTGCAAGATGGCAAATAAGGTTAAACCGGGGAAGAAAGAAAGTATCAAACACAGGTCTGAACCAATCAACAGGCTATAATGCATCTGGGCCAAACCACACTAAAAAGATTGAATCCAACCGATTAGCTAGTCTAACCCATGGCCTTATGACCCATATGTTCTCTCTTATTTTATCAACGTGGGACTCTTAACAAGCAGATAACTACATATAGAGAAAGCATATGTTTGGAAAATAAATCAGGAAGTCTGCGGGGGATGAGTGTTTCTACCTGCAGGGGCGAGTCTCCAGAATAAGCCTTCACACCTGTTACGGAGCAACCCATTATCAAGCCATGCCTGCGTACGCCTCGGTACCATTTTGGTCCAATCCTCTTGAGTTTAACTTGGACAAAACCAGCCTTTTTAAACCACTCGATGTACTCTTCTTCTTTCGGAAAGAGCATCCACATGTCAGCAAAGAATCGAGACAGCCAAAAGGTTGGGTACACGGGACCAATAACGCACGCTACTCCCCCTTGGCAGAGCACCCTGTACGCTTCCTTGATACCCCGCTGTGGATCTGGCCAATACTCGATACTGGATAAAACAATAAAAACATTAGACTCAAGTTACAGAGGATTCTCAATTCTCCTTCTATGTACATTTGTATCCAAATGAATAGAATACAATGTATGAGTGATAACTCATTTTTCATTATAATCTTGGCAACATTTAATTCCTCCTCGTCTATGAGAAATCGAGCATGGCATCCACAACTATCAAGACAACGAAGAAACAGTGATAACATTATAGTTTATCTTTCCCTTGCCTACAATCTACCATCCAAGAACCAACTGAGCTGCTTGTGCGGGCATAACATGATAGTTTATCTATTTATACTTACTCTATAGTCTATACCAATATTGAGACATGGCAAAATATATACATAAACACAGTAAATCAATGAAAAACAACATAATAGACTGAATCAAGACCTAGTACCAACAAAAACAAAAGGAAAGTTGGGAGCTTTACTTTACCTTCCAGCAGAAATGTATCTGTCAAAAGTATCAGTGGGAAAAGGGAGGTCCTCAGCATCACCTTCAAGGATCTTGCACTCTTTCAGAGCCTCCTTCTGCTTAGCCTTGGCAAGCTGGTGAGGGGACTGATCAATGATGGTCACATTCTTGGGATTAACACGCTTAACAATCCCAAGAGTGGTGAAGCCAGTGCCACCACCCACATCCACCACACTCAGCCCTCTACTGTGAAGCTCTGCTGGCTCAAGAGCCTCATCCCTCATATCCTCAGTCCAGTGCCCTGGGTTTATCACATGGTCATACACAATTGACAGGAATCTGTAGAACCAAAAGGCCTCTTTCTTGTGCTGTATGAATCTGGGCTGAGACGCAGGCCTTGAGGAAGATAATGCACATTTGGTCCTCATCACACCTCTCTGGGTTGAGCTTCTTGGGTAACTCACATGACCCTTCTGGGGAAAGGCTTTAAGAATCAAATCTGAGCCAAGAAAATGTGACCCAGTGGCTGAAATCCCATTGCTAAGCCTGAAACTCTCGGCTCCACTGAGGATTGAAGAAGCCATGTATGTGCTATGAACTGAACAAACCCACACAGAAAAATTAGGGCTTTGGAGATCCCACAATCAATTTCCTCAAATTTGTGAAGATGACCCCAGATGGAAGATTGGGAACTTGCGTAAAATGAAGAAAGATTGAATTTTTAGCGGAGTTTAATATATATATACACAGGCATAGTTGCAAGAACCAGGAAGAAGAGTGTTTCCAGAGCTGTGTTGTGGTAGTGGCGATAGCATTTCTTGAATTCTTGTCCACTGCCACATGTTGAGATTGTTGGGATAACAGAAGCCACAAATCGCAACACACAAAACGACATCATTTTTGTTCGCTAACATAGTGAAGTGAAATGTCTTCCCGGTTTTGAGGTGAAAATTGGTTTGTAAGGAAGGGATGAAAATGAAAGGCCTTTGATTATTCACAGAGTATATATATATATATATATTTAGGAAATTAATTTATCATGTCAATATCAAGTCTTTTCTTACCTACAAAAGACCCACATCTCGACCCAACAAAATTTGTGGAGGCTATAAATCACGGTCCCCCAATTGCTAAGAAACTCCCAACATTAAAAGTAACGTTACATTTGATAAAGTTAAACTGATTTTATTAATGAAATTGTATGCATATAAATTATAAAATTTACTCGTTACAATGTTTTTTTCTTTATTTTTGATAATTTATTCACTCAGATTTTTCAGGGAAAGACAGACATTATTGAAAAACCAGACACACAGGGAGAACATAGATGTTGTGAAGGACAGTGGAAAGAGATTCTAAGCATAGGCCTCAGGGTTTTGAAGGAGAAAGGCTTCCACAGCTTTGTACATTCCCATCACCTTCTCTTTACCAGCCATGATTCCCTCTTCATTAAGATTGAAGCTCCCCTGTGTGTAGTACTTGCTAGTCACCTTAGAGACGGAGCCACCTTGGGGTGTTTTCTCGAACTGGACCTCGTAAGTTATCTTGTCGAGCTTGTCTATCAAAGCGTCGCCTTCAACCAACGTGTACTTGTAGGTAAACGTCTCTTCGTTGAGCTCATCGATTTGGTACTTGATGGACTTGAAGCTACTACCTTCAGGGAAATTGATTTGCTTGATGGTTCCCGCGCCTCCATCGCCTTGGAGAATCTGAATGCTTTTGATTGCCTGTGGCATCAGCTTGGGGATCAAGTTGTGGGAGTCGATGATCGAGGCCTTGAAGATTCTTGATGGGGCAACTGGTGAAGTGTGCTCCTCAGTGAATGCGATGACAGACATTTTTCTCTTCAGTTTCTTTAGAGACAGACAACCTTAATTAGTGCACAGATGTGGGAACAATAATACTATGTTTCAAGTGAGTAGAGAGCAGTTGTTGGATGGGAAATGATAGGATTTTGCTGTGGTATTTATAGTATGCTTCAGAGCTGTGATGATTCTTGGAATTGTTCTGATATGTTGAAATATATGCTTTTGTGGTTTGATGGTTCTTGGAATTGTTCAGATTATCAGACAAACTTCCTCCGATCAAACCATTATTTTTCTGAAATTTCAAGGTGGGAAACAGAACCTTTTCCAGGCATATATTACCTGTTCTTGAGGATCATTTGGAATATAATATAAAATTTATATCAGCAAAGAAGAACAGATCCTGAATGTTGTCCTATGTTCCTATCTTATGATCTTAACATCTGTACAGTCAAAGTTACTAATCACACAGTAATTTTTGGACTAATTCACCACAAACTATAATTAGCAGCAGTGCCTTTAACCATCTCTTCATCCTACATACAATAGGATTCAACATCCTCCCGAGTGTGGTACGTTATTTGAAAATCATCAATTTCTATCTATTTTTTTACCACCCGAAAAGTAATACATTATCCTAGCCACTTTTGGTGACGGCCAGAAAAAGGTCGGAACTCAATATGACCTTAAGTTGTTCGTATATGTAACATGAGTGAAACTCGTCTTGTAATTTTAGTTGACAAAGTCAATAAACAATTTCCAGAAAAATTAAATTGAGAATCGTGTGTAGTTACAAAGCTGGGTATATAATTTAGCTGGGAATGCTCCTTATTACCAAACTTTATATAATCATATGTGGTACGTTAAGCGAAATGACACAATGGTTTTATAATTATTAATTACATGCATGTGATTGAAATCAAATTAATAAGATGAAGACATATGGTATAGTACAAAAGTTGTTACATGCAATATTTCTTTACAAACAATACCAAGTATTAAACAGGTGAGTAACCTACCTGTTATCACATTGGATAACTAATTAACACCCTAGTCCACTTACGTTAATCCCACTTACACATGAAATAAACAAGAATCTATTCCATCCACATAACGCCAACACACGCACGTACAATGAAGTTTTCTTTTTAAATTACACTTTGGAGAATTATTATCAAATGATTCAATTATGCATGATAGCTGACACTAATGTTATCTTTAAAGTTTAAAGGGCCCTTCTTCCCACTACATTGCAAAGAAAGTTTTTTGCTTTCCTAGTAATTACAAGTGTAGGATTTAAATATCATATATTCATTGTGCTATTAATGTATAAGTATTTGGAGACTTGTAGGTCAATTGAAACATATCTCAAAATTTATCTTTTTCATTCATTTTCATGGCATGAATAATTTAATTATCTTTTTCACTAGTTTTCATGACAAGATCATAGAAGTCGCATGAGCTATAAGAGCATCTCTATTTGTTGGAAATTTTTGTAAGTTTTTGTCCGGCCACTTAGGAAGGAGAGAAAAAAGAGGGAAACAAAACAAGTTTTTAGGAAAAAAAAAATCACACGAACTTAGCTTATTAGTTCAGTAAGTAGTTGTAAGTAGATCCCTTGTGCGCATTGACATTTGACCCGGTCTTTTGAGAAGCAAAAAAAACTTTAAATTCACTCTGACAAATCCTAGTCCAGTTTATTGTTGGATTGTAATGAAGTATCCAAAATACTTACATTTGAGGAATGATATTTTATTGGGTAAGGACATCATCCACTCACGTGTGACAGCTCAGACACCACTAGAACTATATCCCACTCTTTAGGACTTCTCCTATAAATATATCTCCGACCAGGCGACCAATACAATTCTATGTACATTAATTAGTTGTTTAGGTATAGCAGCTTAGCTCCAAAGATGGAAAAGCAAAAGGCTTCTTTCATGGTAGCTCTTCTAGTCATCCTACTTTGTTCATCATCTTGTGAGTCTCTCTTTCTCTCTCTATCTCTCTCCCTCTCTCTCTCCCAAACATGTATTTAATACACAAGAATATGGTTTTCTCTATAATCACATGTTTATTCCTCTTTTTTTTTTTTATGGATTTGTCTCACTAGTTTTATCTTGATTTGAGCTTGTTTATTCATTTCATGCAGCTTTAATATCATGTTCAAACACTAAAGAAGCTGAAAGTGTGGTTGAGCTTGAGCTCGAGGGCACCACTATTACCACTACCACCACTATCTCAGACGATGGACAGGTTGATGCTTGCAGGACTAAGAAGTGCAACATAGCATGCAACACCAATGCTCAATGTCAAACCAAAAATTGTCGGAGTAGTTGTCCCTCGTGTAACAAAGTTGGCTTCCCTAATGAACAGAAAAGATGTGGTGCTCCACCAGACGATGTTTCACTCCTTGAATTGCCTGTGACTCATCCGGAGAATACTTTGGTCATATAGGTTGTGCTGGCTAGAGAACTAATAAGGTTACATATAATGAAAATCTTGACGAGTTCTTTGATTGTTAGTTTGTGGTGTTGTTTTTAAGGTATAGTAGTAAGTTACGTTGTATTTGATTTGATTTGTGACGTTAAATTAAAGAAGTGTCAATTAAATCTCTAGTAGCACGTTTGGTTTATAGTCAGAAATAATATTTGTAAGAATAGACACATTTCGTTATTTGATAAGTCATGTTCATTCTCTCTCCTTTTTAATTTTTTTTTTTAAATTTTGGGATACGTATTTGACCAACATATGACCCAACGTTGTACCTATAAATCTCAAGAACCATTAGTTATGAAAACCAATTTGTAGTTGTTTACTGATCATTAGAGATGGAAAAGAAAAGTAGGGCTCCATTCATGCTAGCATTTCTAGCCATCCTGCTGTGTTCTTCATCTTGTGAGTCTCTCTCTCTTACTCTCTCAATTAATCTTTCATCTCCAATTATTTTTATATATATTTACTTCTTCATGCAGCTTCAATACTATGCTCAAACATCGAAGCTGAAGACATGGCTGAGCTTGAGCTCGGCAGCGCCGCCACCACCTCCGACGCGCCGCCGCTCAACTCCTGCAATCAGATATGCAATACAAACGCTGATTGTAAAGGTAGTGAGGAGTGTCCGTCTTGTAACCACAACCCAGCCACACCTCAAAAAGAATGTGGCCCTATTGGGCGTATCAAGCTGTGGCCAACACATGATGAAGAGAATATTTGGATAAACCAATGAAATTCACAACATAATTGATCGGTTCGAATCAAGAAATTAAAGTACAGCTAGTAGCAAAGACGCTTCCTGACTCAACCGATCTTCGCTCAACAATCACCTTCTTGCCACCATTATGTCAAAAGCTACAACTAGTAACAAAGACTGTCATTTTATTTTCTTATATATACTTGTATAGTAGTCAGCGTTACCTTTCAATGGTAAGATGTTAGCCTCGGCTATGCAATTCATTGCGCAAAAAAAAAAAATGTTGAATAAAAGCATAAGATCGATGTTAAACACGATTTTGAATTCTTTGCCACATAAAAATGCTAAATAAAAGTAAAATAACAAGAATTATTTTGACTAATGAATAATAAATATGATATGTAAAATGAGGACTTAAACACGGTTTTGTGACTCATTGCCACATAAAAATGCTAAAATAAAATTAAAATAAGAAAAATTATTTTGACTAATGAATAATAAACATGATATGTAAAATGAGATAGAAAAGTATATTATATGAAGTTTGGAAGGGCATCTTTGACAAGTCTTGCATCAATTAAATAATTATATTCTAAATTGACCTTGTAGTCATAATTGGCAGGCTAGTCTTCGATTATCCAAATTAAATGTAGTCACACGTTTTATAAAGACACCATAAGATGATCGGAAGGAGAAAAATTCTTAAGATATAAATATTAATTTAGAAAGTTGGTGATTCGTGAGACCGTTTCACATGAAATGTGTAATATAATTTTAGTTAAAATATAATATTTTTATACATATGAGCTCTTAGCTAGTCATGTACGTAGTTTCTAGCGGCATGTTTTCAATAATTATAATCGTAATTGTTGAAAATTAAAATAAATTTTGTTTATATCGACTTCAAAATAATATTGAGTACCAAATTAGTACATGATAAGTCTAATAAATAAATTATAAGGTCATGGGACATGTGTCTCTTATTCTTGATTTCATATGGAAAAACATTTACGATGTAATTACCACGTACGACTCCATGAGTCTTGAAAACGAACAACGCGGCACGACCACTGACCTCGTAAAATGACATAAAGATATGGAAAATTGCAAATTAAATAATCCAATTTTGACAATGGGCAGCAACGTTATTATTCCCCAATATATACGTACAGCCACCCTCGTTTTACTTGTGCACTGGGAAGGTAAATCAATATAGTAGGTTGCTTATATAGTATCCGTTAAATTACATCAAACTCTATAGATCGAGTTATATTTATTAAGTTAATTGTATAATTAAGTATCAAATTTAAAACTTTTTTTGAATAGTAGTGACACTATTATATTGTAGTATATATATATAATACAACTCTTTTATTAATTAGGATGATAACTAAATCTAAGGTTACATTTTTAAAATTCTAATGTTTGACTCGATCATAGTACTTTATGTTAAGCTGAGGTTACATGTTCCGGCTCCGGCGGGATGGGAGTCTGGACTTTAGCGCCGTGGGGCTGAACCACTCTGCTCTGTTGTTGCCGAGGATTAGGCGATTCGGGGCCGGCTACGTAAGGGTCGTGCCGCGGCACACTCTCCCGTGGCTGCGTGTCAGAAGGGATCTCCGACGGAGTCCGGTCGGAATCGGGGACGCTAGGGGCTTCAGGCGACTCTGGGTCCTTATCCGGAGGCGGCGCCGCGGGGAACTCCGGTGGGGGCTTATCGGACGATGCGCCGCCGGTCATGGTTGCTAGACGGTTTCTGTTGAGTGCATTAAGTGACAGAAGTGGAAGTAGTCTCGTTGCTGTGTTTCTTGATGGATAGAGAAGTGGAACTGCTTTATTCATGGCAGTGGGAATTGAAGGAGGTTGAAAACCAGAGGGGATTTGAGAGGGCATATAATGGGGGAGGGAGGGGGTGGTTTGCCTGGTTTGACATGTGGATAGAGGAGGTGGTGACACGTAGTGTTTATGTGGGGGACACTTGGATGCCATGCAGGACTCTTCCATGTCCAGCTGGAATATAAATTTACTGTCTGCTATTATGATTATAATCATGGATAGAGCTTAGTGGTGATTACATATAATATTGGACCAACTTTCTTCCTTCCCAAGGCCCATTCCCATTCAAACAACCCAATGGCATTCTTGGCATCCAGACTACTATTTATAACCCATGGAAAATGTGGGAGTTGTTATACCATGGACCAGCTTTACCTTGTAAAGTGACTCTGATCATAAATTATGTAGTTTTAGTATTAAAATTGTAAACTTTTAAAATATATACTGTGTTTTTAAGTCCAAACATATAATATAATACAGTGTTATTAAATTTTAATCTATTAATATTGTTTGATTGCATTATTTTGAAAACTTATGAGGATTCTATGCTCATTCAGTCACACCTTTGGGAGTATGAGGTGGTCTGGTTTTTTAAGAAGCAGTCACTCACTGTATGAAAGACTGCAAATGTGGCAAACAAAGTGGGAAAAACAAAAAGGAAAAGGGGGACAAAAGAGAGCCACCTTTCCCCTTTTCTTTTTCCCTTTGAAAGTGTCCGTCCACAAACAACCAAACTTTACTACGCCATTTCTCACAACTCACAAATCCTACCACCACCACTGGGCCACCCCCTTCTCTCTCTCTCTCTCTCTCTAATTTCTCTCTCCACCAGCAAATTTTGCCTGGGCAGTTCAGACAAAACTAATCTCCAATGATATAGCAGCAGCGCAAATCTTTGCTGGAATGGCATGTTTCTTTTGTCTTTGAGAACATAGTGCAGCTGGTTGCTGGTTCATGGTTTTGTGTTTTTGAGGAATTTGAAGTTGTTGAGAGGACAAAAGATGGAATCTTCCGACCAGCAGATGCGATCGGCGGCTGATACCAGAGGGAAGCATCGGATTTCAGCTGAATTGAAGCAGCTAGAACAAGAAGCTCGCTTCTTGGAGGTCAGCCTCTCTTTTGACCTTCAAAGTTTTGATTTTTTTTATTTAGAAACTTTTCTGCTATAATTCTTCAACTTGTATGCCATTGCCATTCTTCTGGGTTATTTGAATCTATATATATTGTGAAAACTGAGAAGAAATGACTGAAATAGCTTTAAAAAATTGGGAATTAAGTTTATATATATTAAGGGAAACTAAAGGAGGTAAACGAACCTAGGTTGCCTGTTGCCTGTTTATAGGCCACTCCCGTGTAGAGGCAAACTTGTAACATTATAGTCAGACCAACTTAGCTGGTGTTGCCCGTAATTAAGTTTATATTCCCTTGATACTTGCTTGCCTTTCATGGTAAGTCCATTACCCTTCTTGAGTTAGATTGATTGGCCTTTAGGAGCATAAAAAACAATACTAATTTGATCTGGAAGAGAGAGGAGTATTTAGAATTTGTACAGCAATAGAAAACTACAATGCCATGGAAGATGCATCTGAGAGCAAAGAGAGAATAGGGACCAAAAATGGGTATTTTGTTGAATCTAGGCTACATGTGTGGTGGCTCGTTCAAGTGCTAAAATGTGCTTTCTACTAGATGTTGAAGGCATTAGTGATGCAAGGATAAACCGAGGGTAGCTTTGAACAGAAGAGGAACAATGCACGTGCAGTTTTGTAGTTCGGGTTTAAGCATAGGGACCAAAAAGGGAAATAATCCTTCCCGAGGGTCTGTAAGTTTTGACGATAGGAATGTCTGAGAGGGAAGAGAATGAAAGCTAGGATTGCAGGAACATAAAAAAGCTCCTATGGATTAAACCTATAATCATTTCCTTAAATCTTATTGGGTGATAAATTTGTTCCGATTTCTTCTGATGATGTTAACTTGTCCAGGAGGAACTGGAACAGGTCGACAAAATGGAAAAGGCTTCGGCTGTTTGCAAGGAGTAAGTACGAGGATAATATTAGATGATCAGTGCATGTTCAATAACTGGGTACTATGATTTATCTAACTTTATCGTTTTACTTGGATACTAGAATGTTGTGTAATGTGGAAACAAGACCGGATCCACTGCTTCCCGAGTAAGAATACTCTTCCCGTGTTAAGTTTGTGTCTCTTCTCACCAATCCCACGCTAAAGAAGTTGTTTCAACTTTTTTCCGCCAGAACTACAGGTCCTACGAACCCACTCTGGGATCGGTGGTTTGAAGGACCAGCAGATGCATCTGGTTGCCGGTGCTGGATACTTTGATCATTCATGGCTGATTAGAAATTTCGCCATTTATTGGAGAGTCTATTCAAATCACGTTGCCTTACAGATAGATGTAAAGTGTGAACTGAGAATTGTTTCGATGTGCAGAAAATTTGATTTTCTTTGTATTTCTTCCTCTCTTTTGCTTATCAGGGAGATGAAATTCCAGAATCCCAAACTCCCATCTTTCCCCTTAATTTTGTAGTACATAATTAAGCATTCTGCAGTTACAGTTGCACTAACAGTTTGCTCAAAGCTATTAAAAGGCATTGACAAGATATTGAAATGACCTTCTATTGAAACAATATGGGAGTAAAAGGACAAGGAAACCAAGTCAAATGTAAAGTGTGCTTCCATTAGTAACCTTGTTGTCATCACAGCTTTACACAATCAGATTGTGGTGAAATAAAAGATGCAAAAGTAAAAGAGTGTAGGAATACATTCAATCTCAGTGCTTGTATCATTACACAAATGGCATTTTACATCAAGCCTTTAAACCAACCATGAAACACCAGAAACATTTCGCAGTGAACACTTCTTCTTCTAGCTTGTAGCTTTCCCGGTGACTCGCTGTGCAATCCATCCCAAACCATCATACAGACCATCGCCGGTGAGGGCAGAGCAGGCCTGGATATGCCAATCGTGGTTCTTAATGCTGTGAAGGGAGAGGGCATCAGTGATCTCCGCAGGAGTCATGGCATCTTTAAGATCCTGTTTGTTCGCGTATATGAGCACAACAGCAGTTTGCAAATCATCATGAGGGAGCAGCTTGAACAGTTCGTCCTTCATAGTCGAGATCCGGGCTCTGTCAGTGCTGTCTATAACTACAATAACAGCATGAGTTCCGCGGTAGTATGTTGCCCATGAAGTCCTAAGCCTATCCTGTCCACCAAGATCCCAGACCTGAGAGAGAACATTAGCAATTTCATTAGATCAGTTGAAACCTCAAGTAGACAAGATCTTGACAGAAGGTCCTGTCAAGTTGTCATCTTTAAAGATCAACAAAATTCCAAAATAAAATGGTATACTATATAAAACTGAATTTTCTACAAAGTTAAGAAAAGCGAAGAAGATGTAGAGTTTTATTATGTTTACAGCATACACCAGTATCTTGGTAAAAGTAGAAACTAAATCTAGAAACCACCAAAAGGTGTAGAGATTGAAAGTGAAGTGAGGACACACAATATTATGGCCAGGTAATAATAATTAGCTTTTGTCAGCATTTCTCTAATCTCTATAAGCTAGATGAAATAAGCTTACATAGCTTAATTAGATTTGGCATATTTGAATTGGCTTCTGATAAAGATGTTCATCAGCTTATTCTGATAGCACTTTGAAATAGTGTATAGAAATAAGCTCAAAACATAATTTCTAAAAGTCATAAGCCTATCCAAGCACAGGAAATGCAAGTATAACTGTGTAAGTGTTTGTGGCAGTAGATAAGCTCAAATAAGCAATGGTGCCGCCTATATCCTATAGATGCATGAAAGTTTGGCTAATACAGACTTTTCAACACATGTCCAACTAGCATAATAATATTCTTCATGATCTTCTGCTTAGATACAAGGAAAAAGGAAATATTAACTCATTTTCATGAACAGTGAACACTAGCATTTTCACCTGAAAGTCACACTCTATCCTTTGGTTAGCTGGGCTAGTAATATTTGCATAAATTCATCATTAAAGTTTCCAATCCAAGGTTTAGGCGCAAGTGAAGTCGCGACCAACACAGTACTGCTGGCATTAGCTTATGATTCATGTAAATAAAACAATATGGAGAAACAGGCAGATGTTCAAATTTGATTTTGTCATCACTCAGACCATCAATGATATTGCTTCTAGTACTTCTCTTCCCAAAACTCAGAACACTAGGGAATAGCAGCAATATAAATCTTCATTTGAATAAGGTTGTTAGAAAGATATCAAGCAGAAAACTTGAGAAGTATATTCATGTCCAAGGCTCATCATAACTTATCACATCCCTGGGGGTTAGTGACTCACCCAATTTTGCATCAAAAATGCACAATGCTCTATTTTCACTTTATAGTCAATAGTCATCAACAAAATTAACCGTTAGGTTCTCCTAATCTTAAAAACAAGAGATATTTCATTAAAAAGGCTAATTGTGCATGCTGATTTACCATTCCTGGCCTCTCTTGAACAATGAGACCATTGAAATTCACTTAAAATTTGCAGGGCAGTGATAGCTATAAAACTACCAGAAGGTTACACAGAAACCTGGTGTCCAAAACCATGAAGTTCAATGACCAGTCCCATTTTGCAGGGCAGTGATAACTATAAGCCATCCTTGATTGTTTATATTTCCCCAATATCTCATTTTGTTAACCAATACCTATGTAATGATGCCTTATCCTTGATAAAGACTCCTATGTTCTAGATATAAACTGAACACCTTAGGCCTCTTAGGCTCTATCCCAGCTTTGATTTACTATCTTGAGACTTAAAACACAACCAACTACACCCTGCAGTCTATACAATCATGCCTCTTATATAAAAGATTAGCAATTGGCATACAATAACAACGCATTAGTTAGCCCACGAGAAAGATAGCTGCAGTGTCCCACACGTAAATGGGCAATATCTTGTAGCTATAATGGCTAAGGACACATAAAGAATTTGGCAACTCATCCCAGCATGAATTCCTATCATGATATATCTTTCATTAATAACCCTTCTAAAATATCACCCCAAAAAAAAAAAAAAAACCCTTCTAAAATATCACCCAAAAAAAAAAAAACCCTTCTAAAATAACTACAAATACAATCTATAAGTCTATAAGTCTTGCTAATACTAGGAATTGGTAAGAAGCTTCATATTCAGTCATCTTGATGATCTCATGTCATCTCTTTCTTGATATTATGTATAGATACACACACATACACAAACACAAAACATTTGCCACCATGATCACACACCAAACTTCACGATAATGCCTTATGATTTTGATCTGAAACTTCATAAACAACAGCTGAAGGTCAAACATGACTATAATAATTCTTCTTCTAATAGGTAAAAGATCCATTTCAACATTTTGTATGCTATTGGTTACTTCCCCAAAAAAAAAAGCTTCAATTTGAGCAAATAGAAAATAAGCAATGATCAAAGTTACAATCTTTAACTGGAAAAAAAAATAAAAAATTAGAGTCCACATAAAATAATCGAGAAAAATTAGATCCGAACCTCAAAACGAATGTTCTTGTAAACGAGCTCCTCAACATTACTGCCAACAGTAGGATGAGTAGTGACCACCTCTCCCAAGTGCAACTTGTAAAGCGTCGTCGTTTTTCCGGCGTTGTCCAGTCCGACCACCACGATCTTGTACTCCTTGGCCGGAAATAGCATGAACCAGAACCTCGATAAGAAAGCCCCCATAGTCGACGTTTATTTTCAAAACACCGCCAATTTCACAGATGACACAATTGATTTCCTAATTCACGATCGAGATTAATTCGGATCTTCGATTCGGGTAAGTACGGATGATCACGACTGTGATAGCTCGATCCGATGCGGAACCCGGAAATGAAGAGGGTTGAACTTGGAAACCCCTTTTTTTGGGGATAAAGTTAATGCTTCATTACTCATTAGTGCCTTAACTTTTGTGGTACTTTATTCCTTTCCATGACATTTTGATTTTTTAAATTTGCAACATAACGCTAATTTAATCAAATTTTGACAGCCAAAGGCCGTTTGGTTGAGCTATTTAGCTGTAGTCCCCAAATGAGAGGTAGCATTAAAAGAAAAAAAAAAAAAATTGACAAGACAACCTTGTTGCATTAATATAAGTTCAAATCTCGAGACAATTATAGCCAAGGTAGTCGATAATTCGGGGTGTGTTTGGTTCGCACTTAGAAATCAGAATCGGAATGAGTATAAAATATTTGGTAATAGTAATGGGTTTTGGTGAAAGTATTTAGCATGTTTGGTAGTAGGGTGAAATGAAAATTGTTACTAATAGTAGTGCCTGATAAAGAATAAGGGAATACAACCCTTATTTTATTTGGTAATGAGTTTTTCAATAAATGGGGTATTCGAAACCCATAGTAGTGTTATAAAAACCTATCTACCAAACAATAATAATCACTTTCATACTCATTCCTGTGAGCAAAACCCATCAACCAAATACACCATCGATTGTCACAAATTTTCATTTTTTATTTCACTGGGAGTTGTCTATTGTCTTCTTCATTTGAGTCGCCCAGATATGAACAGTTTTAATTGGTTTACTTCCTTATGATTATTTGTTTGCTATGATTAGCACACCTTCAAATAGCAATTGCGAACTTTTATGTAAATTGAAGTTTAAACTCCCGAGCACAACATTTTGATTTTACATCTTGTAATCTCCAACTATAAGTGACAAGCTAATAAAATGTCTATGGATCAGCCTAGCTTGACTCATCGTGTGTTGGCTTAGATTGATACTATAACAATTTACATGGGCTTAACTTACCGGTGTAAACAAGTTAGGTTAAAATAGCTATAGTGACTTGAGTTTGACTTGTTAACTTTTAAAAAAATTGAACTTGGTTTAATAGACTCGAATTAAATTCGTGTTCAAACTATATACTCCGTATAAAGCTCACGAACTGTTTCGTGTCACAAGACAACAAATTTAAACTCGAACCCAAATTTAAATTTGATTGTACTTAAATTAAATTTTAACCGAACAACTCACAAGCCACTCGACTCATTTGTATTTTTAGATTTTTAGCTCAACATGGCCCATTTGTCATCTTTACTCTAAAATTGTGTCATTTGTTGGGATTTTTGTAAAATTGCCTAAATGGGCTTTTGAGGCCCAATTTAATAATTGGAGAAAGTCATAAAGATAAAAGTTTTTAATTTTAGGCCATGATTAATTTTTAATCTTGAATTAAGCAAATTTCCTTTGACATTTTGTATCCTTTCTTGTTTGACAGATTCCAATAATCCATTGTTAAATGTTAATCACTCTTGGATTTGATGACAGATCACATTCCCAACAGTATCAACTATCAATGTCGCTGAAAGCATAGTATACTCCGCTGGTTGGGGAAGAAGAACCTCAAAATTGTCGAACATTGACACTCACGTCCCCCCCCTTTTTCTTGCCTTGAGTTCGCCATCTCAGCCCCGCATTTTTCTCTGTCGTTTCAACTCCCATCATTGGCTCAATTTCTGGGTTTCTCAGATACTCCGCCGGATAACCGGTAGTTGTTGAGGTTTCCGGGCAAAATGTCGCGAGCTCTCAACTTCTTTGTCTCCTCCTCTTCTGCATCGCTGCCGGGATTTGCAGTTTCCAAGCCTTCTCTGTCGTTTGCTCCGGCCCGGGGGTTCCGGGTCCCGGCGAAGGCTCCGGCGCGGTCGTTCGTCGTCAGAGCTTCGAATTCAGATCTCGATTTGCGGTCCTCCCGTGTGCTGGTCTCGGATAATGGCTCCGGCGGGGCGGGGGCGGTATCCGCTGCGACGCAGGAGCTGGCGGCGATTGACGTGGACGCGGTGACGGAGGCGGAGCTGAAAGAGAATGGGTTCCGGAGCACGAGGCGGACTAAGCTGGTGTGCACCATTGGGCCCGCCACCTGCGGGTTCGAGCAGCTCGAGGCGTTGGCCGTCGGCGGGATGAACGTGGCTCGGATCAACATGTGCCACGGGACCCGGGAGTGGCACCGGATGGTGATCGATCGGGTCCGGCGGTTGAACGACGAGAAGGGCTTCGCCGTCGCCATTATGATGGACACTGAAGGCAGTGAGATTCACATGGGTGATCTTGGCGGCGCTCCCTCTGCTAAAGCTGAGGTTTTTCTTCCTCTATTGTTAATTAGTACTACCATTTTACCAGTTTGTTTTAACTTATCTGTGATTAATTTCTCTCTTCTGAGAGAAAAGTTTGCATCTTTAGCAATGTTATAATGATTTCTCTTGAATTATTACTGGGTATTGGGTAAGTCTCGCCTTGTGATTCTAGATGGCAAAAGACCAGTAAACTAGCTTAGTTTGCTAATAGTGGACCGATTAGCTGTCAAAAGACCATAATGACCTAAATTAGCTTAGGTTGTCGGTAGCTGACCAGCTCAAACCAAAATGGCCATTACGCTTGTTGGGAGTCGAACTTGTAACTTTGTGGTTATCAAGTCAACTGTCTGATCAACTTGACTTGAGTTGCTCCCGAATTGTTTCTTACTTCTGATAGTATGTTGTTAGCTGCCATTAAGAATAATGCATACCTCAATAGTCAATAAATCATATGCTTTCTTTTGCAGGATGGTGAAGTTTGGACATTCAGTGTTAGGACATTCGATTCAAATCAGCCCGAGCGCACCATTAATGTGAACTATGATGGTTTTGCTGAAGGTTTATGAAGTTTTTAGATTCAAGGATAAAATTACATACATATTGTTTAACTCAGCATTAGTAGTGTTCGGTTAATTGTAATATATATAGAAAGATCATGATGGTATTGACTAAATCTTGTTTCAGATGTGAAAGTGGGGGATGAATTGCTAGTAGATGGCGGAATGGTGAGATTTGAGGTGATTGAGAAAATCGGTCCAGATGTCAAGTGTATTTGCACGGATCCCGGACTTCTATTACCTCGGGCTAATTTAACGTTTTGGCGTGGCGGCAAACTAGTTAGGGAGCGTAATGCCATGCTTCCTACGATTTCTGCAAAGGTTAGTATCTAAATTCCTTTCTTTTATACTGTTGAATAAGTTCTTTTACCGGAATCCAGTACTCTAAATTCACATGTTCTATACCAAGTTCAAATAATCTAGTTATCCTGTTGGATAATTGTGTTCTCGCTCTCAGGATTGGCTAGACATTGACTTTGGGGTTGCAGAGGGTGTTGATTTTATTGCGGTATCATTTGTCAAGTCTGCAGAAGTCATTAATCATCTTAAAAGTTACATCAAAGCACGAGCCCGAGATAGGTCAGTGAGCATCATTTTCCTTTTCTTGTTATAAGAATCGCGGGAATAATTTATTTCATCCTTTTCTTGATGCTTGCAGTGATATTGCTGTTATTGCGAAGATAGAGAGCGTTGACTCGTTGAAAAACTTGGAGGAAATAGTTCAGGCATCAGATGGAGCTATGGTGGCGAGAGGAGATCTCGGTGCTCAGATCCCATTGGAACAGGTTCCGTTGCAACAGCAAAGGATTGTTCGGATTTGCAGGCAGTTAAATAAGCCCGTTATCGTTGCTTCTCAGTTGCTCGATTCTATGATAGAATACCCTATTCCTACGAGGGCCGAAGTGGCTGATGTTTCGGAAGCGGTTAGGCAAAGGGCGGATGCCTTGATGCTCTCTGGCGAGTCGGCAATGGGCCAGTATCCCGACAAAGCATTGGCTGTCGTAAGGACTGTTAGTTTGAGAATCGAGAGGCAGTGGAGAGAAAAGAAACAACACGAGGCCATAGAATTCCCGTCTATTGCATCTTCATTTGGAGATAGAATATCAGAAGAGATTTGCAATTCTGCTGCCAAGATGGGTAAGAAATCTGTTTCTTTAATGGAGCTTTCTTTAAAGAGGCTTGTGTTCAATTAGGTACCGGCTTTTTAGCAAAAAAATATGAAACTGCAAGGCTTATATGAGTGAAAGTCTCTTTCAGGCATTACAAAGGAACCTAATAACTGAGTTTGAATCCCAACCTTCTTGGTTTGAACCAGTCAGCTACTGGTTTAACTCCTTGTAGTCCTTTGCTGGCTAGGGTCACAAGACAGGGTTTACGGTTTACCCAGTACACACCTTTGGGTACCAGCTTTTTAGCAAAAAAAATATGAAACCGCAAGGCTTATATGAGTCAAATAGTCTCTTTCAGGCATTACAAAGGAACCTAATAACTGAGTTTGAATCCCAACCTTCTTGGTTTGAACCAGTCAGCTATGGGCAACCTAGGCTGGTTTACCTCCTTGTAGTCCTTTGCTGGTCAGGGTCACAAGGCAGGGTTTACGGTTTACCCAGTACACAGCTTTGGGTACCGGCTTTTTAGCAAAAAAAATATGAAACCGCAAGGCTTATATGAATCAAATGGTCTCTTTCAGGCATTACTAAGGAACCTAATAACTGAGTTTGAATCCCAGATTCCCAGCCTTCTTGGTTTGAGCCAGTCAGCTATGGGCAACCTAGGCTGGTTTATCTCCTTGTAGTCCTTTGCTGGCTAGGGTCACAAGGCGGGATTTACGGTTTGCCCAGTACACACTTTTGGGTACCGGTTTTTTAGCAAAAAAATATGAAACCGCAAGGCGTATATGAGTCAAATAGTCTCATTCAGGCATTACAAAGGAACCTAATAACTGAGTTTGAATCCCAGCCTTCTTGGTTTGAGCCGGTCAGCTATGGGCAACCTAGGCTGGTTTACCTCCTTGTGGTCCTTTGCTGGCTAGGATCACAAGGCGGGACTTACGGTTTACCCAGTACACACCTTTAGGTAGTGGCTGCGGGTTTCCCTCGTCACCCCAAAGGAACCTAATAACCAGAGAATTGAGAAGCTAGGTAGGGTAGGGTCATCGTGTTTAAATAAATTTTGTCGTTCCATCTTTCTGTGGCGTGATTCCTTCGCAAATATAATGTGATTCATTGAGTTCTAACTTCAAATTTTGCAGCTAACCATTTGGAGGTCGATGCTATTTTTGTGTACACCAAGGATGGACACATGGCTTCTCTCCTATCACGCTGTCGTCCCGACTGCCCCATATTCGCGTTTACAGACACAACGTCCACGCGTAGGCGCCTGAACCTGCAATGGGGTCTGATTCCCTTTCGCGTGAATTTCTCCGACGATATGGAAACCAACCTGAACAAAACCTTTTCCCTGCTAAAGGCCCGCGGCATGATAAAATCAGGTGATCTAGTTATCGCTGTATCTGACATGCTGCAATCTATTCAAGTCATGGATGTTCCATAAGAATGCATATCTTTAGAGTACTTTATGTTACCAGAAATAATAGTCACAACTTGAAGCTTATTAGCACCATTATATATTATGCTGTTTTTTCTTGTCCATTTTTGTTGATTCATTAATATGGGCTATGTGCTGGACCTGTCATGTCAATCCAAGATTCATACAATTTTCTGATTGATTGGACCATTGATATGATATTACCTTTACACAATTTAGCCCAATAGGGGTATTGTTTCCTTCCACTACTAAGCTTAGCTAGGCTTCATGATCAGCCTGTGAGCCAAACCCAAAATAGTATGACTCAGAAAAGATAAAAGACATTCCATTCTAATCCCAACAGCCCACTCAGCCCTGAAATCTTGGCTGAAAAAAGTAAACTTTAAGATTTGTCTAAATGGTTTATGGCTTGGTAGGAATCGAACTCTGCATCTTGTGGCTGTCAGTAAAACAAAGCTACTAACTTATCTTGGGTGTACATTGCGTAAATCTTGCCGTGATTCGGCAAAGGACTGTAAACAAAGAAAATTGAATATATAAAGGACTGTAAACAAAGAAAATTGAATATATATTTAGAAATTCAAAGTTCTGGTTTACATATCAAGTATCAATGCGGTGTGGGTACATGTCTCTGGATATCCTCTGATTCTTCAATTGGTGCCTTGAACACTCCACCATTGAAGGGCCTCCGGGTTTCAAGTGGCTTGATCTTCAAAGAAGGGCTTGTATATATAGCTTGTTCTTCTTGAAGGGCCTCCGGGTTCAAATGGCTTAATCTTCAATGGAGGTTTGGATCAACAGGCAACAGGCACGATTGGATTGGAGGAGGGGCTTTTACTTTCAAGATCACATTTTTATTGTGATCCCTGAATAAGCTTCAAAGCTTTAAGATACTTCTATGAATTTTTCCTAGGATGTGTGTGATTACATAGAAATGAGAGCTTCTATTTATAGCTGTAGGATAGAGAGTTTTGATAAGCTCAAACTCTTTTGATATTATCTAATTAACAAATTAGATAATATCAATATTATCCAAAATATTTCAAATATATTCAAATATACTAATATTAATAAATAATCAATATTTATCAAAATTTAAGTGTCTACAAATGCCCCCTCGGGACTTGCTTGTACACCACTTGAGAGCATATAAAACTTGAAAGTATGTAGTGCAAGAAAGTCTCGACACTACAACTTAAAGATATAAGGCCGTTTCAACTCGTGCCAAGGAGCCTTGAAAGATATGAGGCCGTTTTAACTCGTGCCAAGGAGTATCATTTAGCCTCCTCCATTTCAAATTTCATATGGGGTTTGCCCCCATACCGGTTGAAAGTGCCTATGAAGAGATGAGAGGCAGAGCTGTCCCACTGGGCGTGCCAATTTTTAAACAAAGAAAATTGAATATATATTTAGAAATTCAAAGTTCTGGTTTACATATCAAGTATCAATGCGGTGTGGGTACATGTCTCTGGATATCCTCTGATTCTTCAATTGGTGCCTTGAACACTCCACCATTGAAGGGCCTCCGGGTTTCAAGTGGCTTGATCTTCAAAGAAGGGCTTGTATATATAGCTTGTTCTTCTTGAAGGGCCTCCGGGTTCAAATGGCTTAATCTTCAATGGAGGTTTGGATCAACAGGCAACAGGCACGATTGGATTGGAGGAGGGGCTTTTACTTTCAGGATCACATTTTTATTGTGATCCCTGAATAAGCTTCAAATGAGAGCTCCTATTTATAGCTGTAGGATAGAGTTTTGATAAGCTCAAACTCTTTTGATATTATCTAATTAACAAATTAGATAATATCAATATTATCCAAAATATTTCAAATATATTCATATATACTAATATTAATAAATAATCAATATTTATCAAAATTTAAGTGTCTACAAGGACCACAAGGAAGTAAATCAGACTAGGTTGTCCATAGTTGACCAGTTCAAACCAAGAAAGTCACCTTATGACCCTAGTTGGCAACGGATCATAAGTAAATCAACCTAAACGGCTCATAACTGACTGACTCAAACCAAGAAGGCTAATAGGCCGCTGCCACTGGGGTCGAACTTGGAATGTTGTGGTCACTAAACTAACTGTCTGACCAACTTAATTGGAATTGCCCCTGTTATTAACTCATCTTTGAATTAGGTAACTAGTTAAAACTATTTTTTCCCCTAAATTATCCTTGGGGAATAAGATTAATTGGATGCTCTAACTATTGTGGTTTTAGTCAAAATGAGTTCTCATAAGATATGTGAAGGTTTTGATGCACTCCATAAGGATGGTGAAATATACCTTATTGGATTTGGTGGAAATAATATAATTCTGAGATATCTTGTCTATTTCACCGTCTTCTTGATTAGATTGATTAATACTATGGGCTTTGAAATGTTGCCTAAAAACTAAAAACTATGAGCTTGAAAAGGTTGTCATCTTGTACCTAAAAGATAAATTATAAAGGTTTTCATCTGCCACCTCTATTTTTGTTTTTTCTTCACTCTTGAAAGATATTAGTGCTGATTGGACACAACTTTCTCATATTGCCTGCTCACTATGTAGGGTAAGATTAAGAAAATTTACTTATTTGATAAATATAAAGGACGATTTAAGACACCATTTGAGAACTAAACTAGTAGAACTAAGTAACTTTGTTCAGTCCATGTCCACAAATATACGAATTATACTAGATGTATTCTCACTTTTTATTGTTTACTGAAGTGGCACACGCTTTGATTGATTCAGAAAAAGAAGTGGATCGCAAATTTTTATGCATTTCTTTAAAATATGAATATGTGATGGAAGTTTTACTTTCGAGAATACAGTTATCAATTTTCTAAATATATATAAACCAGTGAGGTGAGAGATGACATTCATAGATATTTAGTCAATTTAGTAAAAAGAGGTAGAGTATAGGAGCAGGTTTAATGGAGCTTTCAAAATGGCTATCGTCAGCTGCAAAACCTGTGTAAAGGGTCCATGAGAGTGAATGGTTTTTGGAGTGTAATGTGACTTCAAAATAAAGTTGATTCTTCTCTCAAATTTAAACTGTTGCTATTTTCATGTAAATTTTCTTTATTTTTTATTGGGGTGAGTTGGTCGGACAGTTGATTTGGTAACCACAAGTTTCCAAGTTCAACTTCTTATGAGAATCATGATTTGAGCTGGTCAGTTATGAGTAACCTAGGTTTTGCTGGCCAGTTATGGACAATCTATGTTGGTTTACCTCTTTATGGTTCTTTCCGAACTAGGGTTACAAGACAGGTTGGTTTACCTCCTTGTAGTCAATTGCCAGCCAACTATGAGTGTTATCTCTTTGCGATCATTTGCCAATTAGGGTCACAACTCACAAGATGAACTAGTTTACATCTTTATGGTCCTTTGCTGACTATTGTCACGAGGCGAACTTCACTCGGAGCGCTAATTGAACAATACTTTCAATGTCACCAAAAAGTAAAGAAGTAGAAAAACACATACAAATTATTTCTCCAGTCATGTTTTGGCACCCCACACACCACAGCCACTTGAAAGTATATTCCTGAAAGATATGCAGGTAGATAGATGATGGGATTAGGCTGAGAGGGCAAAGGATTAATGGCCACACTTTTCTTCTTCTTCTTCTTCTTCTCTCTCTCCCTCTGTCACTCTCTAAAGGCATAGTATAGTCCAGAAGTATATGAAGGGTTGAGACAATGAAGAAGTTGATAATTTGATGGTGGGTCCATTGTTGGGCACCATTTGTTTGCCAACAAACAAATCTGATAAAAGTTTTGGAGGTGACATGAAAGCCCTGTATGTGATACAGCAGCAATCAGGTGCTACTACACTAGCTAGCTTCTTGGATGTTCTTGTAGGGCTTCAATCAATTCAATTCAATTCCCATGACAAAAAAAACCCTAGCCCTAGCAGCTATTAATTTGAATGGTATCACTTGCAAATTTGATTCCTTTCTTCAATTCTTTTCAACTTTAATTTTGGATCTTGAGCATCCTATTACCCAATCCTAGAGCAACCATATTGGTTCTTGATTTTTTAAATGAGTCTTTGCAATTTTAGGAAGAGAGAAAATATTTTTAATTGGGATGGTTGACGGCTGGTAACTACCAATCACCTCAGTCACTTGAAATGTATTTGATCAAACTACCAATTATGAAATTAGGATTGATTCGAATCGCGATCAATTATATGGCATTAGCAAATTTAACCCAGAACTTATTTGAACTATTGATTTTGAAACTATAAATTGCAATGTAACTTACCTCAGTTGTTGCATTTGATATATAAGTTTGATTAACTTAAAGAGTTTTTGGTGAGAAGAAGTAATTTTTTTAAAAGAAAAAATTAATTGAGAATCCAAAATTTAATATTCACTAACTAAATTGGATGAGGTTTTGGTGAGAAGAAGTAATTTTTTTAAAAGAAAAAATTAAATGAGAAGCTAGCCAAAATTTAATATTCACTAACTAAATTGGATGAGGTTTTGGTGGAGAGGAGAAGAAAATTAAAGTGGTCATCTCATACTTATTTTAATACATTTAATTATGCCTTAACTTATCAAATACTTTCATGTCTTCATCAATCATTTTCTTACTTAAATAAATGCATTTCATTTCTTGAGAAGTTGCAAGATTTTTTATCTTTTATTTTTTGTGTGGTTGATAAAGCACAAAATCATTAATTATATTTTACCAACTTCTATCTTCTGTAATTTTTATTTTATTTAAACAAAGTTTTGAGTCCAAATTTTATTAATAGAATTGAAATAATTGTGGAAACAAATTCTACTCAACTATAGAAAGTACGAAGAAGTCACACCAATGATATCCATATTAGTTGAACTTCTTTATTGGACAATAGTTTGATTCCATATTAATTGAACTCTAATGCAACTACAATATATTGGAGTCAAGGTACATGAAGAAAATACAATTTCTTAAACAAGACAATAAAATAATAAACATCTCAGACAAACACAACATGTACTCTGTCCAACGATCCCCGGCCACACTACAACTTCATTCCGCGAACATGTAAAAAGAAGCCCCCCACAAGGTGATATATTTCATTATATAGTTAAAAAAATATATAAATTATTGTAAAATAAACGTATAAAAATTTAACGTGAAAATCATAACCGTAAAAAAACTGCATTAATAGTTTTCTGTTAAAAGTGGGTAGTAGATTAGATTAAGTCATTAAGATATGTTAATTAATGTATCAA